AGTTATTTAAGAAAAATTTCCAAAGCCGAAGTTTGGATACATGTGCTGCGAGCTAGAATCGATGTCTGAACTTTCGGGGTTTGTCTACATCAAAAATCACGTGATACTACGCGTGAAATCTAAAGCCCAAAAGGTGAACAGCTAGATCGAACCACAAACGAGAGAAAGACACCTCTAGAGAAGCGGTGTGATAAGGCAGGCGTCAAAAATTAGCATCAAACTATGAAGAAGGTCGGCAGTTTTTCACTTCATTAACATTATTTGCGATGCAGGACACGCTTTTTTCCGCTAGCGGAAAGATTTGAGACGGAGGAGGAGAAGAAGCTGAGAGAAAGGTTTGCCGGAAGTCAAACACTAATATTCAAGTTTAGACCCCTTGCAGACTACCCACCGATTGTTCAACACCTCATAGATTCTAATAATGAGGGCTTACTCGCACGCTTAATCAATTCATTCACCCATAGTACTCAACATTTGACCGTTCTGAAAGCTTCCTAATAAATTTTGCGCAGAAAATAGGGAGAATGTCCGCAGGCTACAATTAGAGAGAAACAAAAACATTCTGCTCTCTCTTTGAAAGAACTGGTCACGCAGTGTTTTGTTACCGAAAAAATTAACGCAGGGGGTGACTGCAAACTTTCAGCCAAGCAAGATGAGAAAATAGACAACTATGATTCAAAATTGCGCCAATACAGCTCATAGAGTAGATCAAAATGGAAAGCAGATCAAGTGAAATTTTTAGCCGACCATGACATGGTTCCGTTCGTGTATGCAGGAAAATACAGTCAAATGTCTTGAACACGGCCCCTTTATTCAAGCGGTCATCGATCAAATTTCCGTAATTTCCTTCTCACATTTACCGTAAATTAACTCTCAAGTTGCTTCTGAGGCAGACGCAGCCCTTCTTTGGCAAACGGAGCGATTTGCACCACCGAGCTGTACGACTACTCCGCGGGCAAGGGCGGGGTGACCGAAAAATACAGGACCACAGACTAGGGGTCAAACGCGATAAAAACGCCCTTTTATGCTTTAATTGATCACTTCCTGTGACAAGAAAAAAAACTTATAAAAAAATTTCCTCCACAATACCTAGAATATTGGTTAATGAACACCAAAAAAAAAAAAAAAGCGTAAAACAAACAAAGACTAAAACAATTGAAGGGTACAATGGGTTCTCTGATTACCATAGGGAATGTTAATACAGCAATGGCCTACCCTGCAAAAAGCAAAGCTGTTCCGCCCGTACTGACTAACAGGAAAGCCAGCACGCGCTACATATGTTCAACCTTGACCGACGAAGACTTTTCTTTTTTGCTATGACTATTTACCTGTATCCTATTCCAATAACTTTAGATGGAGTCGATGATAAGAACAGGAAAGACTGCCTTCTCAAAATCTGATGAAACGGAACGTTATTTCAAACACTTTGTTTGACGCGCTTTAAATAAACTTCGCGTCACTGTAAATGTTCGCCATGATATTTCTATTGGGTTATAACAAAATTTCCTGGGTTGGATAAAAAAAAATCATCGAGCAATAACGAAAATGTAAAAAGAAAGGCCCACTGGTTCAAGATCATTGCGAAACCGAAAGTTGAGTTCTGTGCACAACTTTATACGCACGTCTCTATTATTACTGTTTTGTATCGATCCACGTATCTAGGATGTTCATTCAAATAACAGTGATTACAATATGGAAAAATAGTCTGAGATTCGTCACATCGATCGAAAGCTAAATCGTACTCTGCAAAGCCCAAATGATCACTTCAGTGAAGACCAGAACGACAATTCAGGTCAAATTTTCTCGGGGCTTGCCAAGTTCAAAGAACATGACAATTATTTTGCAATGTAAAATGCTTTCCATAAAATCCTCTAACCCACAAGATACAGATGAGAAAACTTCCATGATGAAAAATTACATAGCACTTACCTATTGAAGCAACGACCGTTTGCGACTGAGACACGGAGAAAAGTGAAACCACTGACGCGAAAATTTCTGTGCAGATCACAAGTCCGCTGAGGTTGTGCAATCGAGTGTTGTGAAACCCTAAACTGTAAGAGGTCTCTTCGCCTCTTTTCTATCACTTACGTCTGCAGTTAAGCAAAATAAAATATATCACGTTGGTGCATTTGAATCGTAATCGTAAATACCAAATGCGCAACAGAGCTTGTAAACATAAAAATGCAAATTTGAGATCTTTCTGGTTGACAACTATTGCGTGACGTGACAAGGAGTAATAAAACTACATCTCATTGGCACATACCGCGAGCGTCACGGTAGGTCCAATATCTTGTGTTAAGTGGAGCATTCGAAATGTGAACATTCAGGATCGATTCCGAGCATTGACTGAGACACCTGGTAATTAATTCTTTTCTTCTTTTTTTTTTTCCCGGTGAATGTGATATTTTTTTTTCAGTTTTGACTGAATATATGAAAATCATGTATGTGAGATGCGAATTAATATAAATGAAAATAATTTGAGAGCGAACTTTACAATAGCGAATATTGCTTTCGCAGAAGTAAAAGGAAAACCTGAAAGGAAAAATTCAGACCTGTACAGGAGTTGCATCCAGAACTGGTGCAGTGCTCCACCAACGAGGTCTGCCCCGACTGTGCATTGCTGAAAAGTTCGTTGCGGTTTCTGGTGATTTCTGCCATGAAACGGTTAGGAAATGTACAAAGTTTTAAAACATACATGTTTCGCTTTTGAGCTTTTTGCCCTGTACCGCGACCCCGGCTAGGCGGGTTACCCCACCTTGACACGTTAACATGACAAATTGTCACCCCGGCTGACAGGGTTACCCAACCTGGCAGATCGGGCAACCCGCCATGGCGGGTCACCCCACCCAGCATGTAAACATGATCAAAATGAAATAAGAAATTATATGGACAGGCGGGTTACCTTACTTAGGCGGGTTACCTCACCTACCTGGGGTCCCCCACCTCCATGCAAACAGGCCCTTAGAAGTAGTTTCCTAACACTCGTCGTTCAGTTGACTGTTTCTTTTATTCCCTCTTTTATTACGTAAGTTAATACAACGGCGACTAGCTCTGGTGTAACAAAGAAAAGTGTGGGTCACCGCTTATGAAGGTGACGCTTACTGAGCTGTCAATCTCTAACCTTCGTCATGCTTTTAGATATATGAAATTCATATATTTGCACTGCGGTGAAGAGATTAAATTAAGAGATCCTCGCGGCTAAGAACACTACTGAAACAAGTAGTTGAAAATAGGACCTGAAAAAAATTCAGGCCCGTACGGGATTTGAATCCATGACCTCTGCGATACCGGTGCAGCGCTCTATCAACTGAGCTAACAAGCCAACTGGGAGATGGTTAATGTGTTGGGTCCAAATTATTTACACTTAAACAGCGAATCACGCTAAGCTACGCAGAGCGGAGTGTTCGCATACTAAGTAGGTACCTTTGCGATGTTTACGCTTTACAAAATGACTTTCTACCTTAAATTTCTTAGTCTTACGGTCAAGTTCGGGCGAAACAAAATCAAGATTGCTAATAAAAAAAATTATAATAAACTTACTGACAGAATTAAAATCGAAGTTGAGAAGATATTCTGAGAGAAAATGATCCTCAAAGACTGTCACATAACGACAGAATAAACAGAAAATTCGGAGAAGAAAGGGCGTACCCAAGGCACCGCCCCCAAAAGAGCTACGTGCTATTCATATAAATTACCTGATCATAAATTCAGTGCGGAAGATGAAAAACACTACCTGTCTACACCTTAAGACACCTCTAAGAAAAAGAGGTGTCGATCGTGCTAAGTAATACCTGTAAGATAAGACCGCCAAAAGGAATAAGAAATGATCTACTGGCTTACTATAATTTTTATTGAATGGCTTATACTAATATATTATTTCCCTTTATTTTCACGTTCAAATGAGTCAAAAATCACCTATAGTGAAAATTCTTGCTAGATGCCACTTTTGTCTTTCAACACTTGTTTTCACCACTGCTCAAGTAATGTTCATTACTGCGAAGATCATGTGCATGTTCTTTTTGTCAGTTAATTTTGTCTGTTTTTCTATCAGATACATGAATTTGATAGTTACCTGTTACCTTCCTTGCAAAAGTATACGACAAGAGTGGAAAAGGCTTTCTTTCGGCTTTTCAAGTTTCTCCTCTTCATCAGTAATATTAAGATGTCTTTTTTTTATTTTATTTTTATTTTTTTTTTTAAATAAAGGAGCCTCGTAAGAAGGCTTTGAATCGTGAACAAGCGGAGTTAGGTAAAGGTTCCTTGCTTAAGCTTACCATGAATAAATTGATAAAGTTATAAATTTATGTTATGGACGATAGAATTTAATTATTTCTTGTACAGGTTATGAAGAAGGAAAACTATACCACAACAAAAATATATGCGCTTATTAAAAAATTTCCGAGCAAACAGCTTGCATAAGTATACAAAACATTTGCAATACACCTTGCTGAACGTCAAATCAAGACAGACCGCGATTTACATTGATATGAGTCTGAGATATTTTGTACAGAAACGCTCATCAAACTTTTTTTAGTCCAAACTGATGCAAATGAGATGTTTTTGAAAGTTCTTAACAAGATAAAAAGGGAAAGTTAGTTCGTGAAAGCCGAACTATATTACATTATTTCACTAACCACATATAAACTTAAAACGAAACAAAAACACGCGGCTTTGAGTGAAATCATAACTTTAAAACATGAAAATGATATGTTTGACCACAAAATAATAAACAGTCATGATGATGTGTCATATCAAAGGTGAAAATGTCGCGGAAAATGTCTGTTAAAGTTCATTACTTGTAAAATACCGTATGACTATCACACATTTTCATCTAAGTAATCCCTAGCATTATGAAAAAGAAAATTGTTTTGTAAAGCCAAAAATCACCTCGGTTAGCGCAAGCCAGCGAGGCGTTTACACGAAAAGGTTTTCTAATAGGAAGTGTACAGGAAAAAATTAGTGTTATTTACACTGCTAGTGAAAATTTGTCGAAGGAAGCTTTACTTTACTTGCCCAGTTATTTACTCCAGAAAATTTCGTCGTTGATAAATGTTTCCTTGGCTGATATAAATGCTAAGTGTTAACATGTAACTTTATTGACTTAAGAGGAAAGAGAACTTTGCCAGAAAAAAGTTGTTTTATTTTTATTTATACCTAAGAAGGCGTTAAATACTTGTGATGCAAACTTTTTCCTAAGGAAACGTTTGTCCGAAATATCGAGAGAATTCATCAGGGAACTCTTGCCAAGAAAAATATTTGGGAAGAATTATTAACAATAATTTTCCAGTTTAGTGGGAAGGGCCTTAATTTCGAAGTGCTAAATTTTCACGTCTTAATCCGCTTCTGCGCCAAATTGCAGTCTTATGTGCCATCGAAGTTTTTGTCCGTTTTCTTCTTTACTCATGATAAACACAATTGAAGAGATGAGTTTTATTCAAAATAAAATGTTTGTATTCTGGTGGCTTGCTGTGAAATTAAATTAGGCAGTGGCTCAACTCTGGCGATTAAAATTGTGATATACACAAGCTCGCAATAATCTTCCACTGAAAAAAAGAATATTGATATCTTTGGAATCACTTGGCATTTCTGATCAAACTTTGAACACACTCATCAGGTTCGCATTAGGTTTTCAGTGGGAGTGCGGTGAATAATTCTTAATTCTGACTGCCGGACATGCATCAGTTAAGTTTATTTGAAACCGCTCCAGGAAATGCTTTCTCAAATGCTTTTAAGTGTCGACAGCCAAACAGTTTGACAGCATGCACAAGTTTGGAAAATTTGTCCACTAAAAAGTCAAAACAACTATTGGAATCGCTTGAAATGTCTAGACTAAAAACATCTGATACTCTTAGGAAGTTTGAAAGAATTATTTAGTGGAAATCATATGAAAATTTCTGACTGCATTTAAACGGGCACTCAGTCCATGTGGGATCTTGTGTCCTGCCCCCGGGCATTGAGCCGCGGGGGCAGGGCATTAGATAATTATATCATCGTGAGAGAGACAAGATCATAACAGCTACCAGCTGGCGGTTTGGCGCAATTCGTAAACACCGAATACAGAAAGATTTAATTTATGATAATAATTTATCAAGCTTGGGGGCAGCTTTGACAAGGTTTCTTTAGTGTGTGGAAAGTAAAACGTCCTTCTGAAACTAAAATAATGTTTGCTGGAGTTCTAATGTTACCTTGGATGTTATCTGCTATTTTAATTTCAAGGAAAGGTGAGTCTATAGGTTGTTCAATAGTAGTAACCATTAGCAAAAAGTTTATGAGGAAGAATAAATTTTGTCTGCTTATTTTTCCAATGTTGGGAACCTTGAAAAACATTGCATAACCATAGTACTCCTTTGAAACTGTAACACTATGGCGTTAAAACACACGTAGTCCATAAAATGCCGTAAATATTCAGCAAAGAGCGTTTGATCATTTTCTGTTATCTCCAGTCGCGTTGATACTGGACAAAAATGAAAGTATTTTCGAGAAGATCAGTTCATTCGGTATTCATTCGAAGCATTTATCAAAGAAAAAAAAAACAACTACATGTTAACTGATGAGAATCTTCCGAAACTGTTTAAATTTTTGCTGATATAATGTGATCACCACTAGAGTCGGGGTTGCCTTCGTTGTTTTTTAGCTAGTTTAAATTTAATATCAACAATAACATTATTTCATCTTTTTCCTTTGACATTTCTTAAATACCCTTTGCATTTGCAACTATATTTTGAGCTAAACAGGAAAAAAAATTACGATGATTTTTTTGCCTCAATGACAACAGTACCTGATAAGATTTTGTTAAACTTAAATGAATGATATCTGCGTGATAAAAGCATCTAAAAGCAATTTGCAAAAATTCAACATAAACTTAACTAAAGGCAACCTTTATTTCCATAAAACCTGTTTTTATCTCAGCGCATGACGTGGTTAAGAAGAAACTATTAAATTTGGAAAGTAAAAATTCACCATTCTGTTATTAGTTGAACACGTCGAAACAAAACCGATGTAATCGGCATTGCATATGACGCACGAAGATTGTAACGTAAAAATATACTTAATCGTGCATTATAAATGATAGAGCAGATCTTGAAAATGGGCATTTTTACATTTGACGATTACTTTAGGATGATGGCAATAAATCATGTCGAAACCATTAATGGCATCATTTTCACTTATTAATTAAGCACTTAGTTTCAATCTCTGACTTCTCGCCTAGTGTGGAAGCAGATGTATTGCTATCAAAACGACTGAAATACTCTCTCAGCGTGAAAAACGCTTTATTCAATGCGGATATGCTTCCTAGCTTTCTTTTGAATAGTTCATCTTTCATTTCAATTATTTCATAGCCAGCCAGGTGTTACTTAGGTTACAAATATATTTTGACGCTGAACTTTCGAGAAGATTAAAAAGTTCCCTTAAATTAGAATCAACTTATTCTTCAGCCGATGTGGCGAAGTCAAAGCGACTAATTAGAAGGTTTTTCAATGGGTATTTTTATTCATTATTTTGAACTAAAATCAATGAATCTCTATTTACGCATCTTTAAGAACCAAAGCATCTAAAAACTCAAAGAGGACATGCTGTGTACAGCAAATAAAGACAAAACACGTAGAAACATGAATAGACCCTGCATAATGGATCTAAAACATTCTTTACCTATAAATTGTCATCAAAGACAAAAAACATCGACATAGTATTGCATAAATGTGCTATTTTCAATTTCAATTTGGTATTTATTTCAGTGATGTATTTTTAAGATGACGCAGGGCCACAGGATTTTCAGTATCTCTATTTATTTCAAGTGTTGCCCTCTATTATTACAGCGTTTTAATATCAGCATGATCATTATTATAATAATAATATTATTGCTACTATCATTAAAATCATGAAAATTACAATTTCCTGGACTGTGATTGGTTTAAAAAACTCCCATTTTCCACTAATTCACTTGCCAAGTTGTTATCAGACAGTTCAATGAGCCAATCACATTCAAAACTGTAGCTTTAATCAACCAATCACAACCTTGGTATTAATCGCCGTGGAAACAGTGTACGGACTCCTCAGACTCTTAGACTCTCTCAGACTCACGCCTCCTTTGTCAGTCTTTTAATGCAATTTTTCCTTTTTTTTCCCCCCTAACTTAGTCATTCTTCTTTTCTCGGAAATTGTAATTTTTATGATTAATAATATACATGAAAAAATTACTCAGCTCTGATTGGTTAAGATAAATGCAGTTTGCAGGTAATTAAATCCAGAATAGGGTCAATTCAGTGCAAAGAAGTAACAAAACCAGACATTCTGATTGGTCAATAAGAAAAGAATCTCACTGATAGCCAGTCAAATGCGAGCCTTGGATGTGGCAACATTTGGATACGCTAAAAATTGGCGAGCGAAACAATGGCCGGCGTTTTTAAGTAGGTTTTAGTTTCACCACTGTAACAACAATACAGCAGCTGAAAAACAGCTCTAACAACGAAAACATTGTAAAAAGCACTGCTTTTTGGTTGCACAAATTGCACGAGCCCATAGGGCGAGTGCATTTCGTTAGTCTTGTAAAAATTTACTCGTGCTTATTTATTCCAAATTGCACTCGGAATCATGCGAATTGGTAATAAAACTTCGTGTCCTTAA